AAAACTAATCAAGGAAAAAGAGAACAAATTATTAATATTAGGAACATAGAACATGATTACATATCCTACAAATAGTAAAAAAAATAAAAGGATATTAGGAGCAAATCTATGCAAATAAATTTGACAATTTTGATGAAGTGAACATATTCCTCCAAAAACACAACTTATCAAAGCTGATACAATACTAACTAGAATATCTAAATCACTTTGAAAACCCCAGATCCAGGTGACTTCACTAGTAAATTTTCTAAAACACTAAATACATCAAACAAATCTTACATAAATGCCTGAAGAAATTTAAGAAAACTTAAATGCAAGGTGGGACATATATGTTCGTAGATTGAAGACTTCGTTTTGTAAATTATCTTCAAATTAATCTGTAAATCCAATGAAATTCTTATCAAAACTCCAGTAATTATTTTTTATGAAACTATATATGTTGATTCCAAAATTACAGACATGCAATGGGCTATGATCTTGAAGGAGGAACAAGTAGGAAGACTTATATTACTGGATATAATGATTTATTTTAAATCTACAGTTTTTAAAGCGCTTTGTTACTGATACAAAGATCAACAAATGAAGCAGAATGAAGGGCCTAGAAATACACTCATTCATGTATGATCACTGGCCTATGACAAATGTAATCCTGCACACTAGTGGAAAAAGGACAAATGTTTCATCAAATAGTGGTGAGTCAACAGGAGTCCACTTATGGCTACAGGGGATCTATGCTTGGTGGTCAGCCAGAAAATCTGGCCATGGAACGTGGCTGCTCCAAGATGCTTCTAACCCAGGCTGGCACTTACTAGGCCCGGTCTTTTCCTGAAGTCAGGCCTACCTGCCTGATGAGGGCAGTTTTCCAGCTCCTGCAGCTCCTCCAGCTCCTCCTGCCTGTCAGCGAGCCCATCCTAACGTCCTCACCACAGGCATTTCTTTGTCAGCAGAACTTATATGTCTCAGAGTCTAGCACTTTTCACTGAAATGTCATTTACTTAAATTTCATTTTATTATGTTTCATAATAATTTTCTATTAATTTGGCTTCACTTTTTAGGCTTTATTCACTGTGTCAGTTTGGGGTTACTATGCCTTATTTTTTCTGTGTTGTGAGGTGTCCCACTAAGAATTCTGATCATCATAACATTATCCAGCATAGACAAACTATTTAAATATTGCTTAGGATCCCTGAGAAAAGGAAAACCTGAGATGATCTCCACACCAACTCTGGTTGTCTGTTAGAGAGCATTTCCCAAACCACAGCACAAGGTCACAAAGGCCAGAGAGCCATGGTCTCTCTGAGCGATGGAAACAGAGATTAGAATACGGAGCTTTTAAAATAGCTGGAATCTGTGGGGTAGGGTCCCTTAGAGGAGGGATATGTGAAGAAAGGCAGCACTAAACATTTTATAGGGGTATCCTTGAAGCATTGGCTGAATTCCAAACACACAGGATCAGACTTAACAAGATGTAGCCAAAAACAGCACCTGAGTGTCTGTGAACTGAGTGGAAGTTGTAGAGGTTGCATACTGGTGGGAGCTTTGGGGTTCTTACCATCTTGAATGAAGAGACCTTGATGACCACCCCAGGTATCCAGATAAAACCCAGAAAGGTCAAGCCCTGGGAATGGTCCTAGCTATTCTAGATCTTCCTGAGAAAAGTTTAAACCAAATCTCCGCATGATCAGTGAGCTCCCACTAAATTAACTTCATGTCAGAATGGAAGTCATTCCCTTTTTAATGAAAAAAAAATCCATATTTTTAAAAAGTTGCATCGTAGTGTCCAGCATACAGTTAAAAACATACAAGGAAACAGAAGTGTGACCCATAATTAAGAGTAAACAATATTCAACCATTTCCACAATGGCTGAATCTACTATATTTCCACCTGCAGTGTATAAGCATTCCTTTTTTCTGCAACTTCACCAGCACTTGTAACATTTTGACTTTTTAAGTAATAGCCATTCTAACTGGTGTGAGACAGTATCTGTGGTTTTGATTTGTATTTCTCTAATGATTAGTGATGTTGAGCAGTTTTTTCATTTGTTTGTTGGCCACATATATTCTTCTTCTGAAAAGTGTCTGTTCTGTCCTTTACCTACTTTTTAACTGCATAGTTTGATATTTGCTTGTTAACTTGTTTACATTTCTTAGATTTTGGATATTAGGCCTTTCTTGGAGGCATAGTTTGCAAATATTTTCTCCTATTCTGTAGGAGTTTGTCTGTTTACTCTGTAGTTTTTTGTTTTTGTTTTTTCTGTGCAGAAGCTCTTTAGTTTAATTAGGTCCCATTTGTCAGTTTTCATTTTTGTTGCAATTGCTTTTGGTGTCTTTGTCATGAAATCTTTGCAAAGGCCTCCTGAGTAGCTGGGATTACAGCTATGTGCCACCATACATACAGATATGGATATGCGCCACCATGCCCAGCTCACTTTGTTGTTTAGTAGAGACGGGCTTTCTCCATGTTGGTCAGGCTGGTCTCGAATTCCTGATCTCAGGTGATCCGGCAGCCTCAGCTTCCCAAAGTGCTGGATTACAGGTGTGAGCCACCATGCACAGCACATTTACATTTTTTTTTTTAAGGCTAGTCAAATGAAGCATTGGGAGTGGAGAAGGAACCTTTACACCTTTTTGTGTGCTCAGTGCATGGAAATCACCCAGTACCCTAAACTGGTACACATCCCCCACACCTCACCCCACGCTAGGAGCACCCTATTCTTTCTAGGCTGAATCACCCTCTCAACCCTGCTCCCTACAGAGTCTGTCTCCCTTGAAAATCCTCTTCTCCTAAAAGCTATGGGATATGTTTTACCTGTTGTTGGTCTTAGGCTAAGACTTAGCAACGTGTATGTTCAAAATATTCACTGAGTGAAAATTTTCCTAATGAGCAAGTATTTGTAATTTTTTCTTGGAAATATTGAGGAAGAAGGTGATTAGTGGCTTTAAGATAGATTTCCTTGAAAGAGTGTAGAAAAATGTTTTCAACTGAAGGTTTAAAATTAAAACTCATCTCAACCACAACCAAAAGACTTTTTTGTCCTAAGGCTGCATGCCTTCTCAGGATTTCTTGAAGAAACGGTTAACAATTTATACTCCTAGTGCCACCCCTGGAGTTTCTAGTGTGTGGCTCCCAGAGGGGAGGATGAGTGAGCATGGTTTTAGTGGCCCTGCCCAGGTGAGCCCCGTGTGCAGCCTCAGCCAGTGGAGAACATGGGTCTGCTGTGTCTGTCTCCTCACAGACGAGGGGCTCCCGGCCTTTGGTGTGCCAGCAAACGGGCTAAACCCAAAGGGTGGGACTACGACAGAGATGCATGAGAAAAACAATAACAACACAATGAATCCTCTTCTTCTGTGTTTTAAAATCTCCAAATATCTTCTGATCTTTCTCCTAGGATAAGGGTGTGTGTGTGTGTGCAAACACAAATGTAATATATATATACTTTGTATCTAGGGAGAGAGAAGAGACAGTACAGATATATGTTTGTTTTCTTAATTGTTCACTTTACAGTGTTCTGAGTAGACTGAAGTTACAGGAAGTTGGAACTTGGCTCTACTTTGTGGCCTCAGACACACACACACACACACACACACACACACACACACAAACACACACACGCCTTTTCTTGGGAGCCAGTGTGGGCTCCATCTGAGCTGAGCTCAGTGAGAAAGCAGATGAGCTGGGTGCCCTGGGCCCTGCTTTTGAAAGGGACAGCCCAAGGTGTGGTGGCAGTCCATGCCAAGTAGTTTCACAGAAACACCCAGGGCCTGGGCCCAGGCCTTCAGGAGCTCCACATACCCAGAAGTGAGACCAATTAACAAACCAGTCTGAACGACCCTCTTCTCTGCCTCTCCCCAGGCCCTCAATGGCTTCCTCATGGCAGTCACAGAGGATGGCTACATCTTTTACGTCTCTCCCACAGTCCAGGACTATCTGGGATTTCATCAGGTGGGCAGTTTTGTTTCATTTCAGGGAAGTGAGTGAGTCAGGGGTGGGACAGGGCCACATGCAGCCTGGTCTCTGAGGGGCTACGATGGAAGTCCCAGTCCCTCCCACACGCACTCTGTGTCTTTAAAATGAACCTCACCTGTTGGAGGATGTGTTAGGCCAGGTCATTTAAGAAGCAGATGCCACGCAGGATGAGATGAGCGAGCTTCCTCAGGGAGCATCCTCCGAGGAACATGGAGAGGCAGCTATGGGCAAGGGAGCTGCCATGCTTCCACGCAGCTCTGACCCTTGGGCAGGAGACAGAGGACAAACGTGTGTGGCTTGACGTTCTAAGAGAATTCACCAAGGCTGATGGGAAGTTCTTAATCCAGATCACCCATCAGAGGCATTCAGAGTCCCCTCGGAACAGGCCTGCCTTGGTGTCCCTGCTACACTCAATCACTGGTTGGGGACACTGCAGGAACCATGGCCTGAACATGGTGGTGGAGCCACGAGGTGCAACAGGCACGAGCCCCTCGGTCAGAGCCCAGGGGTGCATTTCCACAGCTGCCACACTCCCCCAGCTGCTGCACAGAGCGAGTTCCCCATGTGGTATAGGGAGCAGCTCCTCCCTCCTTGGTTCCTGTGAGTCTCTCTTCCTTAGGGAAGCTCAAAAGGGAGAGGTGAGTAGGGCAAACTGCAGTCCCCAATCGGTGCAGCTGATCTCAGGGCAGCAGCCTTTCCCTCCCCAGCCCTTGTTCTGAACCCACCTGCCCTCAGCCTTACCTCAGCATATGCTGATGGCTCCCCTGGGTGTGACCCAAATATTCATTCCTGTGGGCTGAGCCCAGAGATCCAAAGTGTCATTGTGCCTTCACATAGGGTGGGGACTGATCAAGTGCCAGCTATGGTCCAGCTATGGTCTGGACCCACCCAATGGGAACTGACCTGTTCCCTGCGCTGATCGTTAAGGTTGATGTAGCTGATTGGTAGTTGGACTGACTTCCAGACTGGGTCCTTGGCCTGCAGAGTGAGAAGCATCATGGTGGATAAAGCCCAGGGGAATCTCTGAAGCCAAGATAGTCACATCCCAGGGAGGTGGCAGAAAGTAGTGACATCATGAAAGCCTAAACAACACAGAGTTGCTGGTCCCATCGTGTCTCCATTGGATTTCCCTATGTGGGCCCTAAAGAAATTGACGGTTCCCAGGAATTACTTTAGACTGCTCAGATGTGACCAAGCCGTGGGCCTGAGTTCAGTAGTGGGCAGAACGTAGTATAACTGCTTCAGCAGATTAATGGGCCCTCAGGTGCGTGGTATGTGGCCAGTGATTTGGCAAATGTATTCTTTCACATTACAATTTCAAAAAAGAGAATCAGAAAAAACCATGTTCACGTGCGACAGAAAATATTCATTTAAACATTTTCTTCAAGGCCATGTTAACCCTTCCCCTGTGTCCTAACACAATCTGAAGAGACCTGGACATCACACGGGACATGACACTGGTCACTTACAGTGACAACAACATGCAGATTGGGCAGGAGGAGCAAGGAGGTTCGGGAGGCCAGGCCTCGTGACACAGGTGCCCCGGCAGGAGGGAGATGAGTGAGCCCTTAAAATGCAGACAGCTGCACTTGGGGGAAGTTCTTCAGGGTCCGGTGGTCAGGTTCCCTCCAGAGTGAAAGAAGCCTGCCAGCTTTGAAGGGGCAGAGGTAAGAGCAGAGCACCTGGCCATCAACCTCATGTGGAGGGAGACGTGCATCACAGTGCAGATGCATCTAGATTCTTCAGCAGTGGCCAGTGGTTGGTGTGTCATGTGGGGGCCTGGGAGGAAAAAGCAGGAAGAGTAGAGACAAGGATGTCTGAAATAAAGCATGTCACTTCAGTGGATGTGGGTGCCAAGGGTGAAGATTTTTGTTTCATTCATCAGTGTCCAGCAAAAGAACCCCCTGTAGAAAAGGTACTCAGCAAAGCAGGCAGGATGATGGGGCCGTGGGGCACAAGCCCACCTCCATCACTGGCTGCCCCAGATGGGCCACAGGCAGAGTCACTACAGTGGCAGCTGTGTCCTGTGGGGATTCCCTAAGTGCACCTTCAGACATCACTCAGGTGACTGTGCAGTGGGGGGAAGGAGAACACCCAGATATTGTCATCTGTTGGATAGAAGGTGTGGTCACCTGAGTGAAGGTCTTGCCGTGGTATTCCAGTGCTCTTACTCCTAGGGACCCAGCCACCTCTTCAATGAATTACAGGCCTGGAAATTGTAAAACTGAGCAAGGGATTGCCACTTTTAGTTGAGGCAAAAGCCCTCAGCCTTCTAATGCCCATGCTGGCCCTCTTTCTGTTAAGCAGCATCATTGCTGGCTGTCATCTGTTTGCCCCTAGGGACACCACGCTCTGTTAATCACCTCCACTGCTCCCTGTGGGCCGGGCCTCTTGGCTGTGTATGCCTCAGCCTTGCCAGTTATCACCGTAATTGCAGCCTGCTGGCTTCTGCTGAATTAGTGCCACCACCTGGCCTCTGTTACTTTAGGGCTCCATTGTCGCTATGGATATTAATGAGCCCAACTCTGTGGCTTCTTCTCCTACCAATAGTGCTGACCTGCATAGAAGAGCTGCCTGTCACCAGACTTCACAGTGACGCTGGTGTCCTTCCCCTAGTGCACCCCTGATGGCCTTGGAGAGTGGTGTGGCTCCTGGGCCCTCCCATAATTTCTTGTGGGTCTTCTGGAATCACAAAATGCACTTATTCCAGCACACACCTTTCCCACGCCCCTTCATTGCTTCCTCTGCCACCAGGACAGCCCAGGTACTACCACGCTGCTGACCATTGGGTTTTCCAAGAATTCTAGCAGCCACCCCAGCAGTGAGTTTGCCCCATTTTCTGGGGTCTTTACTAGGGTGTGAAATCCTGAGCCCTGAGAAATTCAGATGTGACCCTTGTGAAAGAAGGAGGGATGGAAGAGGAAGGTTAAATGGGAAAGTCTTAGGCTGCAGTACAGCTCTAAGGAAATTTGACAAGGCCAGAGGGGAGCCCTCAAGCCAAAGTTCCCGTCAGAGAAGTCCTGTGTCTCCCAGGACCATACTTGCCTTAAAGCCACAGCCATAATGCATTTCACAGTGCAGCAGCTGAAACACTGCTGCACCCTGAAATGTGCAACACTCTGTACACTCTGAAAGGCGTGACTTAGTTATACTCCCAGCAGCTGGAGATCTGCATTTTAACAACCTCCACTGAGGAAAGATATTCCATACCTGACAGTACTGTTGTGTGGACTGAATAACAGCAGTGCATATGCAAGCACCTTATACACCAAGAATGGAAAGGATTTATAAAATGCTGTAGCAATAGGAGACATCAAGGTGGCTGACTAGAGGCACTCAGCACTCACCTCCTCCACAAAGGATCAAAACAGCAGGTAGATAACCACATACTGAATAGAATACCTAAGATAGAATAATTGAATTCAGCAAGAAAGTGACAATGACCCTCTGAGGCACAGAAACTCAAAACAGCAGCATGGAGAGGAAAGCAAAGCAGCCAGCTCGCATGGGCTCAGACCAAGGAGGGATTCTCCCTTGCCAGGAAAAGGTAAGCAGGAGATCCCTAGCAGTCTTCATTCCCACCACAGATATTGGCAATCCTAGCTACAGGAGAGCCCCTCAACCCTCATGGGCCCTTAGCCTCATATAGGGAGTTGCCTAGAGTCCACACAACAGCATCATTCCAGAGAGGAAATTCATGCTAGGTCTCACCTACCCCTAAAACCCAAGCTGCTGTAACCCAGCACCATTTTGAGAGTAGAGACACTACCAGGCCACATCCTGCCCTGGGGCCCAGTAGCCTCTGTGTCTCCACATCACTGGGGCCCCACTAACACACCCCTGTACCCACCCAGAGAGCTGCAGTGTTGCAATACTAGCTGGATGCAGAGGTGGGCACATCCCTGGCACCTGAACCCATCAGCACCCTACATACTGGGGAACAGGCAGTCCAGCACATCAGGAACTCTCAGTTCATACAGAGCCAAAGAAGGCAGCCCCCAAAGCCTTGGAGCCATGTGCTTAGGGCTGCTGCCACCAGCAGCTATCCCACAATGTCCAGCAGTGGGCCTTCTGCACACCCATGCATACTACCTCGGGGCTGGGACTAGACCACCTAGGGCCTGCTGTCACAACCACTGGTGCCAGCACAGGCCACCATGGGACCCAAGAACTGACTCATCCGGGCCCACCACTTCCACCACCAGCTCCCCATGCACACTATCTGGGGCTCAAGGGCCACCCCTCCTGGGGCTCACTGCTGCCATGGCCAGTGCCTGTGCAACAGCCACGGGGCCCAAGGACTAGCCTGCTTGGGTCCAGCTGCCACCATAGCTAGTGTCCACATGGGTTACTGGGGGCCTGAGGACCAACCTGCTCACGGCCCACCACCAACCCTACAATTGGCACCCACATGCACCACCTGAGGGTCCCACCATCACCATCACCAGCAGTCCTGTCCACTTCAGCAGTGGAGCTGCCGTGTGCCTGCACTCATCACCCAGGAGCCCAAGGAGTAGCCTGCCCAAAGTTGACCACTACCACCACCAGTGCCCACCAGGACCCAGAGGTCTAGTCCACCAGCATCCCCACCACCAGTAAAGCCTTGCCACAGCCTTGAGAAATAACCACATTGTAAGCCACTGAGGAAATCATAGACACCATTGACACTGATTGCAGCCAAAGAAATATAGAGGCTATGCTACCATGCCCAACCAGAACCAAAGCCAATGCATCCTACCCAAAGGATAATATAGATACATCTACAGAAAAAACTCTTCCCCCAAGCTACTCCATAAAATTGGAAGAAGTAACTGTTATACCAGATGTGCAGATATCAATGTAGGGACACAAGATGCATTAAAAAGCAAGAAAACAGAACCCCTCTAAAGACATACAAAAATTCTCCAGTAACAGAGCCTGAAGAAAAGTAAATCTAGAAATGTCTAAAATGGATTTCAAAATAGTGATCTTAAAGAAACTCAGTGAGATTCAAAAGAACACAGACAATACCAAGAAGTCAGGAACAAATTTTGTGACCTGAATGAAAAATTCAACAAAAAGATATCATTTACAAAGAACCAGACAGAAATCCTGAAACTGAAGAATTCAATGAATGGAATAAAAAATACAATTGAAGGCCAGGCACAGTGGCTCACACCTGTAATCCCAGCACTTTGGTAGGCCAGGGTGGGTGGATCACTTGAGGTTAGGAATTTGAGACCAGCCTGGCCAACATGGTGAAACCCTATCTCTACTAAAAAACACAAAAATTAGCTAGGTGTGGAGGCAGGCATGTGTAATCCCACCTACTCAGGAGGCTGAGGCAGGAGAATCACTTTAACCCAGGAGGCTGAGATTGCAATGAGCCAAGATTGTGCCACTGCATGCCAGCCTGGGGGACAGAGTGAGTGAGACTTCATCTAAAATTATATATATGTATATGTGTGTGAGTGTGTATATACATATAAATAATTGAAAGCTTCAACAATAGACTAGATCAAAAAGAAGGAATTTCTGAATTTGATGACAGGTCTTTTGAAATAACCCAGGCAAAAGAAAGAAAGAAGGAAAAATAAAAAATAATGAAGAAGGCCTACATGACATATGGGACACCATCAAGCAAACACATATTCACATTTTGGAAGTTGCAGAAGGGGAAGAAATGGGAAACCTATTAAAATAATGGCTGAAAACTTTCCAGGTTTTGGGGAGAAATAGACATCCAGATACAGGAAGTTCAAAGTTCCTTAAATATTCAACCCAAAGAAGTGCCCTCTGAGGAACATTTGTCAAACTGTCCAAAGTAAAAGACAAATAGAGAATTCTAAAATCAGCAGAGAAAAACATCAGGTCACATGAAATGGAATTCCCATCAGACTAACAGCAGATGTCTCAGTAGAAATCTTACAGGCCAGGAGAGAATGAGATGATATATCCAAAGTGCTGAAAGAAAAAAACCTACCAGACAGGAATACTGTACCCCACAAAGCTATCCTTCAGAAATAAAGGGGGAAAAAGTATTTCCCAGATAAACAAAATTTGAGGAAATTCATCAACCATAGCCCAGTTCTACAAGAAATGTTTAAGAGATTCCTACATCTGGAAGCAAAAAGATATCTACCATTGTGAAAGCATGCAAAAGTATAAAATTCACTGGTAAAGCAGATACACAAATGAAAAAAATAATCAAATATATCACTACAGAAAAACACAAAATCAAAAAGATAAACAGTAAGAGAGGAAGAAAGGAACAAAATGTTACAAAACAATCAGAAAACATTTAATAAATGACAGGAGTAACAATAACAATCTCAAATGTAAATAGCTTAAATTCCCCTATTAAAAGATATAGACTGGCTGAATGGATTTTTTTTTAAAAAAAGACAGACTATCTTCTGGTTACAAGAAACGCACTTCTTCTGTAAAGGCACACACAGACTGAAAGTGAAAAGATGGAAAAAGATATGATACACAAATGGAAACCAAAAGCATGCAGGAGTATCTGTATTTAGACAGGATAAAATAGACTTTAAATCAAAAACACAAAAATAGATAAGAAAGTCATTTTTTAATGATAAAGTGAGCAATTCAACAAGAGGAAATAACAATTACACCAAACACCAGAGCACACAAATATACAAAGCAAATGTTAGAGATAAAAAGAGACAGACCCCAGTACAATAGTCATTGAGGATTTGAACATCCCACTTTCAGCACGGGGCAGATCGTCGAGAAACAAAGTCAACAAAGAAATGTCAGACTTAAACTACACTATACATCAAATGGACCTAAGAGACATTTACAGAACATTTCATCCAAGAGCTATAGTATACAGATTCTTCTCATTAGCACATGGAACATTCTCCAGGATAGACCACATTTTAGGCCACAAAATACGGTTCAACAAACTTTTAAAAATCAAAATTATATCAAGTATTTTCTCAGACCACAATGGAATGAAACTAGAAATCAATAAGAAGATAAACATTAGAAAATGTAAAACTCAACAAAGATGCCAAGAACACATTGGTGAAAGGATACCCTCTTCAATAAACGATGCTGGGAAAACTGGATATCCATATGCAGAAAAATGAAACTAGACCATTATCTCTTACTATATACAAAAATCAACTCAAATGGATTAAAGACTTAAATGTATGACCTAAAACTATAAAACTACTAGAAAAAAACACAGGGGAAGTGCTTTAGGACACTGATCTAAGCAAAGTTTTTATGGCTAAGACCCAAAAGTACAGGCAACAAAAACAAAAATAGACAAGTAGCACCGTGTTACACAGAGCCAAACCATATCAGCTACCCAGAAAAGCTGATGACTGACTTCCATCGAAACTCCACATTTTTCTTCCATAGAACTTCAAGCCAAATTTCAAGGGCTATTTCAGTCCCTTCCAATGGGTGTCCCCATCTCAGGCATGTCCTGGCTACTTCTTTGTTACTTATCTCCTGGGCAGGCATGAAGTTCCTGGGGGGCAGGTCCTTCCACTGCCCCCAAGAACTGCCATCCTTTTCACCACAAAGTACAGGCATGACTTCCAAAAACCATAGGGTGCCTGCCTCATATATTGTGTTCTGGGTCTGGGAGAGCAGCAGCCTGAGAAGATGGGCTGTACAAGATCAGAAGAGGGAAGCAAGAGCAGAGTGCATCAGCTGGCCCTGAGGACTGGGGGGACAAGGATGCAGTTTTGGGGGAGGGTTTCAGAGGAGCTGGATAGACTCAGGGATATTTGAAGTAAATGGGTCACATGCTGGCCTTGGGAAGACAGAAAACTTTGGGAGTGTGACTCTGCCCCTTCATCTTTGTAGTCAGATGTCATCTATCAGAGTGTGTTCGAACTGATCCACAAGGAGGACAGGGTCATGTTCCAGAGCCAGTTACGCTGGCCTCCAGACACAGCGCCAGTCAGCAGAGAGGCAGATCCGGACACCAGCCGTAAGTCACAGCTCAGAGGACAAAGTGGTGGGACATAAAATCAACCCTGTACCTGTGTTTCAACCTGTGAAGTCCGTGAGAAGGAAATTAGACTAGGGAGCTGGACTTTCTCAGTTTCAGAAAGCATAACAGAGCACTGGTTCAGTTCTATGTACTTGATGACGAGGTGTACCAGGAACGAAGTAGCATGTGCTGACACAGGACTCTGCAGCTTTTAGAACCCTCTCACATCTCTGAACTCATCTGATCCTCTAATAACTGGAAAACATACCTGTGGCATGAATTTCTGTTGTTTTTACTACCAATAAGATGCAGGAAGGGATTTTTGACTGTCTTGTTTACTGGTTTATCCTCAGTGCCTAGAAAAGTACCTGACACACAGTGAGCACTCAGTAAATATTAGTTGCTTGAATAAATCAATGTGCAGATGAGGAGACTGACGCTGTCCATATAGGTCCATCTGGCAGAACTCACACTGGAGGAAATGTCCTGCATCCCTAAACCATGTTCAGGTGGCCAAGAGGCTCACAACTGTGCATCTGATGAGCACATAGATGGGTGGGCCATTATGGCCTAGATGCATGTTACTCTGTTGGCTGGTGGGAAACCATAGACACTCACCAATAAGCAATATTGTCATTTACAGATAAATGCCATTTTGTACGCCCAGACACAGGTCCCTTCTCCAGGGATTTAGAGTGCATTTTATACACCCACACAGGATGGAAGGAAAGGCTCTTCACTGTTTTGTTGTGAATGATGATCAGAAAAGAATACTCAAACCTGGGGGTTTGACCAAGAAAAATAATGAAGCCATAGGCCCATATTTGCACACTAATAATATCCTTTTCATGGTAGGGAGTCTAAAATATTAAACAAAAATAAACTTAAAGGCTCACTATAAAGTATAGTTGTGTGACTTTGGAGACTTGCCTTTAATTCAGATCCACTTTGGCTACTGTGAAAACTTTAATCCATCTTTCTCCAAAGCTGCTTCCTCTCTAGACGTTCCACACAAGGCTGTCTCAACCAGCCTAAGGTCAGCTGGGTGCTTACTTATCACAAAATAGATCTTTACTTTCTTCCTCGCCACCCCTCATCAGATTTTCAGCTCCTGAAGTCAGTCAGGATCCTTATCCTCAGCATTGAGCTTTGCACCTCTGTGTGATGATTCTTTCTTTGCCCCACCGTGTCCACATTGACTGGCCAGGGGTCAGAGGGGCAGGAACAGACATCTGAAGTTCAGCCTGGGCTGTGGGAGTAGAGAGGGCACCCACTCCAACTCCTCTGTGTCAGAGCTCTAGAAACAGAGCATCGGAGTAGAGTGGGATCTTTGCCATCCAAGTAGTCTAAGACCAAGATACAACACCAACAGTCCAGTAGCCTCACCTCTCACTAAGTCCTACATTGTTGCTGTGTCTAACTCAGTGGTTTCTTATATTTATTCATTTCTTTCTCAAAGAAACTAGTAACTTTGTGTACCAACTATATTTCCATACATAAATCTTAAATATCTGATAAAACTTTAAACATTGTTAGTAATAACTCAACAGGGTTTTTGTTGAATAAATTGAATAGCTATGCCCTACAGTTCTGGCATTTTTTCAAAAAGTAGTGAGGTCAACAATACTCTGAATTATCTCACTTCATTCCTAGTGCTTTGAAGTCAAGTATGAAATACTGTCACTTTTATTTATGCCTCATTTTATATGTAAGATACGCATATAACATACTTTGAGGCAGCAAGCTCTGAGGTAAATTTACAATGTACCATTATAATTCTTGATTTCACTTCCCTGGAATCGTCCATTCTTTTTTCCACCCCTAAATATTGATTGGAATTTTCATCCCCATTTAAGAAGAGTTTCCTGGATTTTAAATCATAGTCAAAGTATATTTGTGAACATCACAATGTGCATGTGCAGGACTTTGTGCACATCCTGACACCACCAAGTTTGAACTGCATCTTTAAAAGTGAATACTCTGAAATTTTACGTATAATTCCACATTTTAAATTCCTTTTATACCCTTATACTGCCACAGTAGCAGAAACTATGCAGTAGTCTAACTCCACGTTTATGTGTGCATGACAAGTCCTCGAAATACAAGTAAAACCTTAACCACAGTGCTATAAATATGCCAGAAAACATCTAAGGACCACTCCTTCTAACCCAAATTCAAGTTGACGTACACTTTATGCACATGTGTATATTATATGTTCCAACATTTACTGAGCGTCTACCATATACCAGGCGCTGTGCTAGGACCCTTATTAAATCAGATTAATCAGAAACAGTAATAAAACTTATCAGACACTGAGTAAGTCCTTCCCTTCATTCCTCCCATGAAAACATTTAGGATTGCTAATCTACTATAAGCTTGCTTTCATCTTATTCTTCCACAAAACTTGACTCTAGATAAATTAAA